CATACTGTCCACTACAATCTTCTACCAAAGTTCTAACTGGCGTTGAAGAAAAACTAATGTAATTCGGTGTGATAAATACCTCTCTGCTCAAAGAATCCTATCATTGTCTCTCTTAGTTCCTAATAGCCACTGTTCATCTCAAGATTGTTTAACATTACAGAAGGGAGAAGGCTCTAGCAGCTTCTGCAGGATGTTGGTTTGCAGGGGACCTTCCTCTTCTCTCGAGTTTAAGTGTGGTGTTCATACATCTCGCAGAGCCAAACCTCATCACCTGACCTTGGAAATGGCCAGTGATGCTACAGTATATCCACACCTAATACAGTCTATCTGCATTTAAAAGGTTAATTTTAACGTTAAAAAAATCTTTGTATACATTTATAAAATTAGTACAAAATGAACTTTAAAAACTATCTCATAGAAGAACGGCTCTAGAAAAGCTGTTAATGCTCTCAGAAGAATGAAACCAATCAAAGCATGTTCATGCTTCACTTGCATCTAAAGACACAACAAATCTGATGTTGCAATTTGAGTTCAGGGGCACCGCCTTGACTCTCATCAATGACTCGAAATCAGTGGTTGAAGACAGGTCGCAAATATTTGGATAATTAGAAAGCAATAAAAATTACAGTCTATTTTTAAAAATCACAGCCCAACCTAATCTCCTCATCTTTTCAAGACACAGAAAATAAGTATTGGGTTGGGCAAAAATTCATTCAACCCAAACAAACTTTTTGGTCAACCCAGTATCTTGATTGTTCTTCAGTGAAAAACAAAATAAGAGTTTTCCAAGGCTATTTCCGTTGTAAAGACAAACGAATGGCTAACTCTTCATAATTCTGCACACAAAGGGTGGGATCCCAGGAAAGCCAAGGTGATGCTGAGAGACCACAGTGCTCTAAAAACAAATGTTGTTGACCATGGTTTGGTGGCAAAGTAGAATCTTAGACTATCATTTCTCCAGAAATAGTTCAAAAAAAACCAAAAAAAACCCCACAAACTGACTGCAAATTATGACAATAGAATATGCCTATTATAGTATTTCAATAAAAATCACATATGCACATTTATATACTCCAAGGAGTACAAGACTCCAGCCTCCTGGCTCTTACTGTTTGCACGTCTTCAAGCAAGTTATTTAAACCTCTCTGGACCTTTGTTTCCTCATCTGGAAAATGGGCATAATCAATAATACCTACTGCATAGGCATTAGTTACAAGGATTAAATGATGTTTTACATATAAATATACTTAGCATCTTCTACTTAGCAAACAAACACTCAACAAATATTATCAGTCATTTTATTACCATCACTATTGTTACAGAGGTTTCATTCTCAGACCTGTTCAAGATGCAGGACTTCAAATGTAAGGGGCCGTCATCATCATCATAAATAATTTTATTTCCTAGAATACATGATTAAGTTATATTTTTCAGTTTATACTGCTGTACCTATTGAAGTTAGGTAAGCTCTGGAACAAATCATTATTTACTAATTCATTTGATCCTGACAACAACACTGATACAGAGAGAGGGGAGATATTATCCTCATCAGACAGATAAAGTTCAGTTTTAGCTGAAGTTCAGGGAGTTAAGTGACCTGCCCAAAGTCACAGAGTTGGTGACCAGCAGGGCAGGGTTCATGACCGCTCCGTCTAACTCCTCCTGCAGGGCTTTTCCCGCTATTTCAGGCTTTTTCCAAATATCAACTTCATAATATTTCATTTCATTCAATAAATGTGACCCTAAGGGAGTCAGCAGAAAGACCATAAACAGGGAGGGTGCAGCGTGACCACAGATCCACTGTTGCACAGAAACGAACACCAGTGGGCTGAAGGTGTTTTAGTGACACACTCACGAGTGTCACCACCTCCTCTCAGGGCACAGGGGCCCCCAATGTGATGACGAGATGAGCCCAGTGGTGCTGAAGGTGCCCCCCCAGCAACACCTGAAAGCATTCATCTCTCCATCGCTGCCCAGCCCACCTCCCACCTGCTTGCCTTTAGAGCCCTCTCATGTCTGTCCGAGGAAAGCTTTTCTGGGGCCGGGGGTGCTGGCTGGAGCCAGAACAAGCCTCAGCCTTCCCTGCTCTTTGCCTTTGTTCAAGTTGGTCCTGCACAGAGAGCAAACGCCTTTCCTCCAGACGCCAAACGGTCCAATTCTACTTCTTAAAAGCCTGGTTAAAAGCCATTTCCGCCATGACATGCAGCTCAACGCCGCCACGCCGCCAGCCAAAATAATCTCTGTAGCCCACAGCTTCCATTCATTTATTTAAACAGCTTTTCCTAAACTTATTTTGTAAGCTGTCTCTCTCCTCTTAGATCTGTAAGCAACTTAAGGTCCAGGTTTGAGCCTTTATATGTGCCCCGCCCCGTGTCCACCTGCCTACATACACACACACACAAACACACACACACCACACACACACACACACAACACACACACACACAACACACACAATATACACACACACAACACTCAACACACAATACACACAACACACACACACCACAACACACACCACACACACACGGCACAGCACCACAACACACACCACACACACACGGCACAGCACCATGCCCGGAGTCGGTATTCAATGGCTATGAGAGAGGGCGAGTGAGCAAAGGCCCATCTTTGATACGTGTACGGAGCTTCGTCTCTACCATATAACACAACACAAGCAAACTGCTATGGAGGGTCAGGTAATTTTTTTAAATGAAGAAAGAACTTTACCTTGAAAACTTTGTCAGAGGAGAAATTTAAACTATTTTTAAATTCATCTTCAGATACACTTATGTGCATGGAACGGGGTTTAAATACAAAAGATTAAATTAAGTAAGTCCTTAAAAAATACAAATCTCTGCTTAGAGAGTTAAGAAGGATTCAATTGATACAAATTCAAAAAATCAAGGTAAGCTTTAAAAATAAGTATCATCCCTGTTTAATTTTACTGTAATATGACAGGCCACCCTCTACTCTTAATCAGTCTGAGTATCTCTTGACTATTATTATTCGTTATCTGTCTGGAAAGGAAGGAAAAATTACGTGAGCTGGAAATGAAAGGCCTTTTATCAAAACACCGAAGACTACCAAACGTTGTATAAATTGCGCCGGCAATGATGAAAAACAAAAAAGCTGCTGATGACAAAACCAGAATGGCATTGGCACTGTGTGATACAGCTCCTTTTTAACCCGGATGTTGGAACGTGGGATGAACAAATTCTGGGATTTAGTTTTATTCAATCGTTTACCCTCTTCACCAAGGAGGCCACACTCAGGGACCACTGCCTTGAGCACATCACTGTGGAACTCTGCAGCCAAAGACCCCAGGTCCACAGAAAGTTGTCTATCTAGCCTCTGCCTCAACCAGTAATTAAGAGATGGCCTCGGTCAATATGGGTTCAATATGCATCAATTCCTACCCAGCTCAGCACTGGACCACAGCCTGGTAACTCTCGAGGTTCAAATGGTGCATCTGGAGGGAAATGGGGTGATCCAGAAGGATCTCCTCCGTAGCCTGGCTCGAACAGGGACACACAGGCTGGACTGATATGTGTCCTGAAGAACACTATTCGTGAGAAAGAATGCCTTAAAGAAATCAGATTTCATGGTCAAATAAATTTGGGAGAGACTGTACTTTGAACTTTCCTTTGGGAGTTTCACAATGCGCATTGGTATATTAAGGGTTATGAAAAGTCCAACAGCAAAGGACTCTGTAATGTTTTGTTTAACTCAGCAAGCCCCTAATTTATTTGACTATGAACCTTCTTTCCAGTAACACCTCTAATATTGAAGCTTAGTGTGGGAAATACTGAGACCACATTTGACAGTTACATGGCTCCAGGTCTAACTACAAGATAACTCGTGGTTTCCCTGTCCAAGAATTGTTGCTCAACAAAGGTTGGTGTAAGAATTAATCAAAGAATAGGATGTTCAGGATTTCTGACAACCAAATTATGATGTAGTCTGTAAATTTTACCTTAATATGAGCAAAACATATATTATTTAAAACCAACAGAAAAAAACCTGATTTATAGGTGACAATTAAAATGTCCATAGCAGTATACTCTCTATAAAAAGATTTGCTATCATGAACCCACGACCCAATATGTATGTATTTTTATGGGCAAAATGAAACAGAGAACAAAATAATTACCCAAATAGTTCGGCTTCTCTTTCTATACAATAATATAATTTTGCCGCTAATTTTCAGATAATCCAGGCTTGCTGGGTTTGAATGTGGAAGTAGAGGAGACAAGTGGGAGCCGGCCATTGCAAAAGCCCTTGTAATTCTCCACTTAACCACTTAAATATACTTTATTAATAAATTGAGCCTTAGGTAGATACAGTCATTTGACCATCTTTGAAATCACTAAGGAAACATCCAGGATATTACATGATATAATACACTGAAAATCCCAATATCTGAGAATTCATGTTCCCACATTTCTGAGCAGCCAATTTACTATGGAAAAAAAAAAAGATTTGAGCACAAAGTATTATGGGTCTATGTACCAACATAAAACATCATCGAAAACAAAATTCATAGATTGCCTTTCTAACTTCAAGCACCTCCAGTAATGTAGTTAAAACCTGTTCACATTTATGAATGGAAAATCCATGAAAATGATCTATATTTCAGATCGTCAATTTTTTTAAATTTAACACTTTCAGATTCATGTCAGACCATGAAAAGATTTATTCACATTTAAGTTTGCGCATTTCATTCCTTTGAACTGAGAACCGTAAAAACACAAATATGCAAAGTTCTCTCTTTTCCAAAACACAGTTGGTGAAAATGTTACACTTTAGTACAATCTGAATCGAAGAGAAAACATTCAAAGACTTCCTCCTCCTAAAACCTGAGGTGGGGGAAGATTGCTGTTCATGAACTTGAATTTAACACCTTGATGTTAGAACGAACTTTCTCTTTACTCATTGCATTTTAGTTTAGTGGTCAAAAATGATCATGGTTTCAAGGAGTTCTAACGGCAGTGCCTTACCAGTGTAGATGCTGGCATTGGAAGCTGGAATACCAAACTGTGACTCGATGAACTTGGGAATGAAGGTAATGAAAGCAGTTACAATGGCACTCTCAGCTGTGTATGACAAACTCACAAAAAGGAATGTCATGTTGCTTAAGATCCTGACAGCTGCTCTTGGTAGGTCTATAAAATGACAAAAATGACAAATGAATGTTATAAACAAGGGATGGAGAAGAAAAGAAAATTGAATTGCTTTTGAAATGAACTGGAAATAGCCATTCAGCAATACAGGAAAAATTGATGACTGATTAGAACTCATCCCCTTTATTAAATAGATTTGGGGTTTTTTTCGTTTTTCAACTAGGATAAGGAAATTTAATAAAGAATCTAAAAACATACCCATACACAAATATCCTTATAAGAAATACCTCAAACCTATGACTCCTGTTTCAAAAACTGCTTAAAATAAATGATTTGCATTTTTTATTGACTGAAATAATGGTATTCTTTGTTAAGACCCTGAAGTCTACTAAGTGTATAGAGTACATGCAATATAGTCCTAAATTATAGTTTCCACTTCACCCAACTAACACTTCCCTGAGTAGGCGCACTTCTGAGATGCCAGCTCTCTGGCCTGACACCCACAGCAGAGGAACTGGTACATGATATGGGACATCTGTTCTTCCAGCCTCATTATGAAACAGGAAATAATACAGCTAAAAAGGCATAAGGGATAAGGCCACCAGGTCAGACACTCCCAGGGACTTTGGTTTGGGGAACAAACAGAAATGATCTCCAAAGGAGCCAGACAGCCCAGAGGTACGGGCTCCGTACCTATCCAGCCACCTCTCAAGGAAGAGAGAAAAGTCCCATTTTTGAATCTAGGCATTTATTTCAAAGAACTTGCCATATATATGCTTCGAGATGTATGTGCATTTTCATTACAGCATTATTTATAAGAGCAAAAATTTAGGGGAAAAAAATAGATGTCCATCAATGGGAAACGTTTACATAAATTATGGCACAGCCATGTAATGAACTACTATGTAGTAGTTAAAAATGAAATGGAGCTTTGTGTACTAGCACAAAGGGAGCTCCAAGAAATATTTTTGTTAATGAATAAAGCAAGCTGCTGCAGAAATATACATATGCCTGTGTGCATAAATATATATATAATATTTAGGTAAAAAACAAACTAAAACAATGGATTTATATATGGTAGAAGGTATACACTTCAATATATATAATGCCAAGAAGTGCTGTGAAGTGCTGTGAATGGGAGTAAGATTGGGAAAGAGAAATAGTGTATATACTTTTGTATAGTTTGCATGTTTGTAATGTGAATTAACTCACGTGTGTGATCTTTACATATCTTCACGGAAAAGGTAAGCTGCATTACTTTGGACATGTACAGTCTCTCAGTTATCAGAACAGTTACGCCCTTATGCTACAACAGGGTCTTTCTTATCTCTGTGCTATTAACTGTATTCCCCACAAGTCCGATCGGCAAATGTCAAGCTCATCCATTGAGTGTCGAGATTAATCCCCTCCTGGAGGAAGCTGTCACAGCCCCTCCAGACAGACGGAGGTGTTCCTTCTCTGTTCTCCCACCACACGCTGTTCCTGTCCATCTACGCTCATCAGTTCTTTTGTAGCTGCACGTTTTCCCATCTGCTTCTTTCAAGAGAATGTAAATGCCATGAAGGCAGGACCTTGGTATATCTTTGTATGCCCAGCTCCTGGCACAGATCTGGCATTCAGTGGGCACTCAAAAAATATTCCTGGAATGTATTTATTTATTAACATTTTTTATTACATCACGGCAATAATTTGTACTAAAACAATATCCATATACTTATGAGAAAATGAAGTCTGTTCCAAGGATGCCCGACTTCCTCCTGGGGAGAGAGTTAGGTATTAAGGAAGCATATGTCATAAAATTAAGGGTAGGCCATGTGGTGGTGGACTTACCAAAACCACAGAAAAATGTGAAGGACCAAATAGATCATCTTTTTTAAAGTGGGGCTCTTTAAAGCTAAAGAATCCTAAAGGGATGTAGATAAGATTATAAACTAAAAATCCCATTAAAAGAAACATTTAAATGTGAACAAAAGAACAAGGAAGAGATGTACAATACTGGCTTTATCCAGCCTATCTGGGAGAGAAATAGTTTGTATGCTTGAATTTTTCAGATAACTGGGCGATTGCCTTTTTAAGCGATAGAGCTTTGAATATTTCCTATGTATTAACTGATATTATTGGAAATCCATAGCATAATTTAACATGTTCTTCAAGATTCAAACTCATAATTAGGAATAATAATATCTATATGCTAATTTGTTTTAGCATATGTATATATTTTTTATACAGCGGGTTCTTATTAGTCATCAATTTTATACACATCAGTGTATACATGTCAATCCCAATCTCCCAATTCATCACACCACCACCCCCACGCCCCGCCGCTTTCCCCCCTTGGTGTCCATACGTTTGTTCTCTACATCTATGTCTCAATTTCTGCCCTGCAAACCAGTTCATCTGTACGATTTTTCTAGGTTCCACATATATGCGTTAATATACGACATTTGTTTTTCTCTTTCTGACTTACTTCACTCTATATGACAGTCTCTAGATCCATCCACGTCTCAACAAATGACCCAATCTCATTGCTTTTTATGGCTGAGTAATATTCCATTGAATATACGTATCACATCTTCTTTATCCATTAGTCTCTCAACAGGCATTTGGGTTGCTTCCATGACCTGGCTATTGTAAAGAGTGCTGCAATTGGGGTGCAGCACTCTTTACATTGGGGTGCATGTGTCTTTTTGAATTATGGTTTTCTCTGGGTATAAGCCCAGTAGTGGGATTGCTGGACCATATGGTAATTCTATTTTTAGCTGTTTAAGGAACCTCCATATTGTTCTCCATAGTGGCTGTATCAATTTACATTCCCACCAACAGTGGAAGAGGGTTCCCTTTTCTCCACACCCTCTTCAGCATTTGTTGTTTGTAGATTTTCTGATGATGCCCATTCTAACTGGTGTGAGGTGATACCTCATTGTAGTTTTCATTTGCATTTCTCTAATAATTAGTGATGTTCAGCAGATTTTCATGTGCTTCTTGGCCATCTGTATGTCTTCTTTGGAGAAACGTCTATTTAGGTCTTCTGCCCATTTTTGGATTGGGTTGTTTGCTTTTTTAATATTGAGCTGCATGAGCTGTTTATATATTTTGGAGATTAATCCTTTGTCCATTGATTCATTTGCAAATATTTTCTCCCATTCTGAGGGTTGTCTTTTCGTCTTGTTTATGGTTTCCTTTACTGTGCAAAACTTTTAAGTTTCATTAGGCCCCATTTGTTTATTTTTGTTTTTATTTCCATTACTCTAGGAGGTGGATCAAAAAAGATCTTGCTGTGATTTATGTCAAAGAGTGTTCTTCCTATGCTTTCCTCTAAGAGTTTTACAGTGTCCAGTCTTATCTTTAGGTCTCTAATCCATTTTGGGTATATTTTTGTGTATGGTGTTAGGGAGTGTTTTAATTTCATTCTTTTACATGTAGCTGTCCAGTTTTCCCAGCACCACTTATTGAAGAGACTGTCTTTTCTCCATTGTATATCCTTGCCTCCTTCGTCATAGATTAGTTGACCATAGGTGCGTGGGTTTATCTCTGGGCTTTCTATCTTGTTCCACTGATCTATGTTTCTGTTCTTGTGCCAGTACAATATTGTCTTGATTACTGTAGCTTTATAGTATAGTCTGAAGTCAGTGAGTCTGATTCCTCCAGCTCCGTTTTTTTTCCCTCAAGACTGCTTTGGCTATCTGGGGTCTTTTGTGTCTCCATACACATTTTAAGATTTTTTGTTGTAATTCCGTAAAAAATGCCATTGGTAATTTGATAGGGATTGCATTGAATCTGTAGATTGCTTTGGGTAGTATAGTCATTTTCACAATGTTGATTCTTCCAATCCAAGAACATGGTATATCTCTCCATCTGTTGGTATCATCTTTAATTTCTTTCATCAGTGTCTTATAGTTTTCTGCATACAGGTCTTTTTTCTCCCTAGGTATGTTTATTCCTAGGTATTTTATTCTTTTTGTTGCAACGGTAAATGGGAGTGTTTCCTTAATTTCTCTTTCAGATTTTTCGTCATTAGTGTATAGGAATGCAAGAGACTTTTGTGCATTAATTTTGTATCCTGCAAATTCATTCATGTATCCAAATTCATTGATTAGCTCTAGTAGTTTTCTGGTGGCATCTTTAGGATTCTCCATGTATAGTATCATGTCATCTGCAAACAGTGACAGTTTTACTTCTTCTTTTCCAATCTGTATTCCTTTTATTTCTTTTTCTTCTCTGATTGCCGTGGCCAGGACTTCCAAAACTATGTTGAATAATAGTGGCAAGACTGGATATCCTTGTCTTGTTCCTGATCTTAGAGGAAATGTTTTCAGTTTTTCACCATTGAGACTGATGTTTGCTGTGGGTTTGTCCTATATGGCCTTTATTATGTTGAGGTAGGTTCCCTCTATGCCCACTTTCTGGAGAGTTTTTATCATAAATCGGTGTTGAATTTTGTCAAAAGCTTTTTCTGCATCTATTGAGATGATCATATGGTTTTTATTCTTCAATTTGTTGATATGGTGTATCACATTGATTGATTTGCGTATTGAAGAATCCTTGCATCCCTGGGATAAATCCCACTTGGTCATGGTGTATGATCCTTTTAATGTGTTGTTGGATTCTGTTTGCTAGTATTTTGTTGAGGATTTTTGCATCTATATTCATCAGTGATATTGGTCTGTAATTTTCTTTTTTTGTAGTATCTTTGTCTGGTTTTGGTATCAGGGTGATGGTGGCTTCATAGAATGAGTTTGGGAATGTTCCTTCCTCTGCAATTTTTGGAACAGTTTGAGAAGGATGGGTGTTAGCTCTTCTCTAAATGTTTGATAGAATTCACCTGTGAAGCCATCTGGTCCTGGACTTTTGTTTCTTGGAAGATTTTTAATCACAGTTTCAATTTCATTGCTTGTGACTGGTCTATTCATATTTTCTATTTCTTCCTAGTTCAGTCTTGGAAGCTTATACCTTTCTAAGAATTTGTCCATTTCTTCCAGGTTGTCCATTCTATTGGCATAGGGTTGCTTGTAGCAGTCTCTTAAGATGCTTTGTATTTCTGC